TGGACTCCCTCTCACCTCAGCTCCCAATCAAAGTTTACTGTATTGCACCAGGATAGGCAGGCCACAAGCACTTCTTATCACCTCCAATTTCCATTTAAACCCATTGCTGTCAAGTTGATTCCAACTCATAACGACCCTACAGGACAGAGCAGAACTACCCATAGGGTTTCCAAGGAGCGCCTGGTGGATTCAAACTATTGACCTTTTGGTTAGCAGCTGATCTCTTAACCACTGCGCCACCAGGGATCCAGCAGACAAGGCTAAATTCCTGGTGAATATGGCCAAGAGGTCAAGGGCTCCCTTCCTCCACCCAGTACCCATACATAAGATAGAGACTCTGCCCAGGTACAGCAGGTCTAGAATACTGGGGTCCCAGTTGTCCTTTCCCCAGCTCATTCCATAATGGGAGACAACATACCCCTAAATAACCAACAGGTGAAAGCAGAAATAAAAGGAAAACTAGAAAACATTTCTAGATGAATGAAAATGAAGACACATCATACCAAAACTTATGGAATGCAGTTAAAGCAGTGCTTAGAGGGAAATTTATAGCCATAAATGCCTACATTAAAAAAGAATCTATACAAGGAATATTACAAAATTGAGGAAAGAAACTGAAGATCTAAATAAACAAAGATATAATCCATGTTCATGGATAGAAAAACTCAATATTGTTTAAGATGTCAATTCTTCCCAACATGATCTATAGATTCAATGCAATCAAAATCAAATCTCAGTAATGATAAATTAGAAACTGAATATCAAAAACTGACTGTAAAGTCTATATAGAAAGGCAAAAGACCTAGATTAGCCAACACAATACTGTACTGGCAAAGAAACACAAAGTTGGAGGACTGACATGACCTCTTCAAGAGTTACTATAATGCAACAGTAATCAAGACAGCATTGGAAAAAAATAAATAGATAAATTTATGGAATATAATATGAGTCCAGAAATAGATCCACACAAATATAGCCAACTGATCCTTGACAAAGAAGAAAAAGGCAAAGCCTTTTTAACAAATGGTGCTGTAACAAGTGTACCTTCATACGACGAAAAAAAAAAGGAATCTAGACACAGACCTTACACCTTTCACAACAATTAAAACAGATTATAGACCTAAATGTAAGATGTAAAATTATAAAACTTCTAGAAGATAATACTGAAAACTATCTAGGTGATTTTGGATTTGGCAATGAGTTTTTAGCTATAACAAAAAAAGCACGATCCGTGAGAAACAACTGGTAAGTTAGACTTCATTAAAATTAAAAACTTCTCTAAGATGCTGTTGAGAGAATGAAAGACAAACTATAGATAAGGCGAAAAATATCTGAAAAACCCATATTTTATAAAGCACTTGTGTCCAAAACATACAGAGTACTCTTAAAACTCATCAAGAAAATCAACAACCCAATTACAAAATGGTTAAAGCTCTTAACGGATATCTAACCAAAGAAAATAGAGATGACAAATAAGCAGATGGAAAGATGCTAAACAGCATACATCAATACACCAAACTCACTGCTGCAGAGTCAATTCCGACTCATAGCAACCCTTCAGTACAGAGGGTTTCCAAGGAGTGGCTGATGGATTTGAACTGCTGACCTTTTGGTTAGCAGCCAAGAGTTCAGCCACTGAGCCGCTAGGGCTCCAATACGTCATTAGGGAATTACAAATTAAAACAATGAGATACCACTATACACCTACTGCTGTTAGGTGCCATAGACTGAATTCCAACTCATAGCGAGTATAACTGCCCCACAGGGTCTTCTTGGCTGTAATCTTTATGGAAACAGATTGTCAGGTCTTTCTCCTGTGGAGTCGCTGGGTGGGTTCTAAAATCAAAAATATCAACAATACCAAATGCTGGCAAGGATTTGGAACAAATAGGAATATAAAAGGATACAGCCACTTTAGAAGACAGTTTGCTAGTTTCTTATAAAGCTAACCACAGGTTTACCATTTCTTCCAGTAATCTCACTCCTAAGTGTTTACTCAGTAGAGTCCATTAAAAAACCTGCACATAAATGCTTATAGCAGCTTTATTCATAACTGCCCCAAATTGGAAGCAACCCAGATGTCCTTCTCTAGGTAAATGAATAAACAAACTATCATATAGCCATAAAATGAGGTATCATTCAGCAATAAAAAGAAATGAGTTATCCATGAAAAGACATGAAGGAACTTTAAATGCATATTGCTAAGTGAAAGAAGCCAGTCTGAAAAGGCTACATATAGTATGAGTCCAAAGATAAGACATTCTGGAAAAGGCAAAACTATAGTCAGTAAAAACATCAGTGGTCCTCAGGGGCTCTGTAAGGTGGAAGGATGAATAATGAGGTACAGGCAAGGTTTACGGCAGTGAAACTATTCTGTATTTATATATTGAATTATTTAAGACCTTTGTTAACAAGTACTTGCAATCTGTTGACTTTTAAAAAATCAAGTTGTAAACTTTTATTACAAATTAAAAATGAGGTTCTTAAAAATCTCAACTTGACCAGATATGAAACAATTTAAAAACCTTCAAAGGTGTATTGAGAATAACCCCGTTTTTTTAAAAAAAAAAAAACAACACATCTGTCATTACCAAAAGGAGACATCTTCAGGTAAGAATAATAAAAACCCCATGCTGCAGGTAGTTCTAGTTATCTGGTCAATGGGCAAAAAAACAAGCACTTAAGGTCTTCAGCCCCAATCTTCTGTTCATTTTTTATTGCTGGAACTTCATAGTCATTTCTCCTTGTTGGATGACTAAACTGGATGATGGCAGAGATGGTAAACGGGTATTTACTCAGCCCTGCCCTGCTCAGCCTCTGGAGTGGACAAATTCTCAGCTGGTGGATCGGCTGCTTTTGTCTCTTTGCCATCTTGTGGTTTAGGGTTTTCTGGTTGTCTGTGCTGGTAATTGAAGTTGCAATGGTACTGACATTGAAGTCGCTGCTGACCTTGGGACTCATTTCCTTGATTTTCCTTATCCTCTTCATCACTGTCCTCTCTAAGCTGTCTTTGTCGAGAAGGAACCCTGTGAAACTGTGGTCCATAAACCCGATACATATTCTGTCTCACTGGTCTACCCTGTCCTCCTGCACCCTGGTGGTCAGCACCCTCCATCACTTCTCCCAGCACAGGAGGGTTGGAATACCATGGTAGAGGCATACAGGGTCTCCACATGTAGTAAGGTGGGAACCATCGACTGTTTAACTCAAAATTTATCAAAGACCTAAATGTAAAAGCTAAAATTATTAAGCTCTTTGAAGAAAATACAGGATTAAACCTTTGTGACCTTAGATTTGGCAACGGTTTCTTAATGGTTTCATAACACCAAAAGCACAAGCAGCAACAACAACAAAAAAAGACACACTGCACTTTATCAAAATTAAAAACTTCTGTGCTTTAAAAAAACATCAAGAAAGTGATAAGACAATCAGAAGAATGGGAGAAAATGTTTGCAAATTATGTATCTGATAAGGGACTTGCATGCAGAATACATAAAGAATTCTGACATCTCAATAATAAAAAGACAAATACTCAGGTTAGAAATAGACAAAGGATCTGAATAGACATTTCTCTAAAGAGGACATACAAATGGCCAATACATACAAGAAAAGATGCTCAACATCATTAGTCTTCCAAAAAAAAAAAAGAAATCCATTGCTGTTGAGTCAATTCCAACTCATAGCAACCCTACAGGGCAGGGGACAACTGCTCCACAGAATTTCCAAAGAGCAGCTGTGGATTCGAACTGCCCATCTTTTGGTAAGCAGCTGTAGCTCGCCGTAGCTCTTAACCACTGCACCACCAGGGCTCTGTTCATTAGTCATCAGAGAAATGTAAATCAAAGCCATAATGAGAAACCATTTTACTCTCACTAGGAGAGTTATAATCAAAAGAACACGTAACACTACATGTTGGCAAGGATGTGGAAAAATCGGGACCTTCATCCACTGCTGACAGGAACATAAAATGCTGCACCTGTTTTAGAAAACACTCTGGCAATTCCTCTAAAGTTTAAACATAATGAGACCACTATTGTAAGAACTCGAGAAAAGGTTTACACACAGAAAAAAGCATTCTTTGATGGTTACGAGGGTGGAGAGGGAGAGGGAGAGAAAATCACCAACTAGATAGTAGACAAGTGTCGACTTCAGTGAAAGGAAGGGCAACACACAACATAGGGAACATCAGCACAACTGGATCAAAGCAAAAGCAAAGAAGTTTCCTAGACATATCCAAACACTTTGAGGGACTGAGTAGCTGGGGCTGGGACCTGGGGACCATACTCTCAGGGGACATCTAGGTCAATTGGCATAACATAGCTCATAAAGAAAATGTTCTACATCCCACTTTGGTGAGTAGTGTCTGGGGTCTTAAAAGCTTTCGAGCAGCTATCTAAGATGTATCTATTGGTCCCATCCCACCCAAAGCAAAGGAGAATGAAGAAAACCAAAGACATAAGGAAAATACTAGCCCAAAGGACTAAAGGACCACATGAACCAGAGACTCCACCAGCTGGAGACCAAAAGAACTAGATGGTGCCCAGCTACCAAAAACAAGTGCTCTGACAGGGATCACAATAGAGAGCTTTGGAGTGGGAGAAAAACGTTGAACAGAACTCAAATTCATGAAAAAAGACCAGATTTAATGGTCTGAGGGAGACTGGAGGAACCCCCGAAAGTATGGCTCCTGGACACTCTGCTAACCCAGAACTGAAACCATTCCCGAAGCTCACTTTTCAGACAAAGGTTAGACAGGCCTATAAAAAAATAACACGTGAGGAATGTGCTTCTTAGTTCAGCCAAATATATGAGACCAAATAGGCAACTCCTGTCCAAAAGCAAGATGAGAAGGCAGAAAGGGACAGGAACTGGACGAATGGACATAAGGAACCTGGGGTGGAAAGGGGGAGCATGCTGTCACATTGTGCAGATTGCAACAAATGTCACAAAACAATATGTGTATAAATTTTTGAATGAGAAATTAACTTGAGCTGTAAACTTTCACCTAAAGTACAATTAAAAAAAAAAAAAAAGTTTAAACATAAAGTTACCATTTGACCCAGCAACTCCACTTATAGGTATTTACCCAAAAGAAATGAAAACACACATCCACACAAAAATATGTACATGAATGGTCACGGCAGCATGATTCATAATATCCAGATTTAAAGTAGAAACAACCCAAATGTTCACCAGCTGATTAATAATAAATAAAATGTAGTGTATTCACATAATGGAATACTACTTGGCAATAAAAAGAAATGTATTGATATATGCTATAACACGGATGAAGTTTGAAAACACTGGCTAAGTCAAAGAAGCCAGTAACAAAGAACCACATATTGTATGATTCCATTTATATGAAATGTCCAGAATAGGAAAATCTATAGAGACAGGGCTAGAGAGGATGTGGGGATTGCAGGTAAGAGTCACAGGATTTCTTTCGAGGGTGATAAAAATGTTCTAAAATTAATTGTGGTGATGGTTGCACAACTCTGTAAATATACTAAAAGCCATCAAATTGTACACCTTAAATAGGTGAATTATAACATGTGAATTATATCTCAATAAATCTATTTTTAAAAATTAAGATAAGAGGTAAATTTGTCCTAACTTTTACTGTATAACAATAAAAATCTAAAATACTCAAATCACTTCAGAAATAAAAAAAAATTTCCAAAGTGTAATATACTCAAAATAAGGTTCTCCCGACATGGAAGGCACTTCCGGGAAGAAGCCCCAGGTATGCTGGCTGGGGCAGCACTGATGGGAGTTCAGCAGCAGCCTTACGAGCTAACTGCTCTGCAGAAGACATGATGACCTGGAATGTGTGTCAATAATATCAACAGACGCAATTACAGTTCATCTTTGCCACTGCTTCAACCCACTGGCAAAGATAAACCACAGTGATCATGGCAGTTAATAAGCCTAATATTCCTAAAAATAAAACATTTTTAAAGTACAAAGTTTAAAAAAAAATCTTTTTCCCCTCATTTATGTCCAGTGCTAGCTACTACAGTTCTCATGATGACACACGTTGAAATCATTCAGGTTTCCTTCGATCATACGCTTAAAACATCAGCTAACACAAATACCTTAAAATAAAATTCCACTCATAGACATCTTCTTTTATCTTGATACTTCGAAGCTATGATGTTTCATTTTGTCTTGAATGGAAAAAAAAATAGACAGTAATTTTGAGCAATCTGAAGTAAAATTAAGTGTCTTGATTATTTGTGGGTTTGAAAAGTTGCTTCGGGGTTAAATTATTCAGTCTTAAATTCTGAAATGTGGAAGATACTTGTGGAGATGATTCTTCCACCTGTTAGAATAACCAAATACAAAGTTAATGTTGTAAAAACATAGTCAGTCTACCCGCTGTACTTCTGGTTCTTTCTGACTGCTTCTGAAGAAGACATAATACATTTTCCCCCACCCCTTGGAAGACTTGAGCAGACCCAAACAATTGGCTGCCAGCTCCTTGCAGGATCAGGTCTACTTCTGCACACCCTGGCACAGCACCCAGCTCTGGGTCTAGCATGTAAAACAACTCTTTGCTGAGTGAGCACATGGGTTTAGCTTGTAAAGGTGTGGACAGGATCCACCTCATAATTTGGCAGCCTAATACAAAACGAAAATGCAAGCCCCTTGTTCAAAACTTAAGAATTTCAAGATGGTAACAACTGAGCATTAAACCAAGCATGGGGCCCTTCAAAACACATGGCCCTGTCGGACTGCACAGGTCTCGTGCCCATGAAGCCAGCGCTGTCTTTCCTGACTATTCCTGTGTCCTGGCCCCTACAACCTCCCATCTGCACTCTCCATTCCAGCCACAGTCCTATACTTGTAGTTGCTGATTATGACAACATCTCACACACTGTGCCCTCTGTCAGGAAAACTCTTCCAGGATGGGGAGGAGTGAACAGGGAAGATATGCAGAAAGAAGGTGCAGGATGACAGAGGTTTCTTCTGGCACACCACCTTCTATCAATTGATGGAGGTTGCCTAGAGTGTCAGCCTCAACCACAATGAGGAAAAGCGCTATCATCAGATGAGCAAACGAGAGGGGAAATTTGACATGCAAGAGAGAACAGCTATGTTTTTAAGTGCTACAGTATAATATAACACTGATAAAAATATATGGTCATTTAAAAGCACACTGAAGTTAGCAGTATTTAAGGACAATGAAAGCACATGCTAACATCAGTCCTACCATAAGAACTTTGTTTGGACTTTCATCAACATTCACCCCACAGGTTCTTTTGGACCCTTGTGTTCTTGATGGGCTCTCATCTGTATCCACTTCATCAGATGAAGGTAACTGCCAATTGTCAGCAAAAGTGAACGTCCAGCCATTAGGCGTAGAGGCTCTGCTTTTGGTGACGTCGTCTGTACCAGAGTCAGTCCCAGCTGTAGGGAGTGGGGATGCTGATGGCTGTGTGCAAGCTTCTACACCTTCTCCAGAGCTTTTTGATGGGGATGGAAACTCTGCTGGAGGTGCACAGCTCATGGAAAGCCTGTTTTGCAAAAAATGTTTCAAACGTGTTTTTCTGGGAATGCTGTGTCTCTTAATTGCACTGCGGAGCTGAGATTCTTCTGCAATTACATACACTCTAGAGCGGCCCCTGGTTACTGCGGTGTAAACGTGCTGCCAGTGCTGGCGGCCTGCCTTTCCCACGACGTACACAACTGTTTGCTCCTCAGAGCCCTGGGAGAGAGTAATACATTATGAAGACTTCACACTGTTTAAGAGGTTCACTGCTTCAGACAGTTGAAAAGATGGAAAAGAGACACTCCTCAAAAAGCTCACTATTCCTTCTACCTGGCCAGAGTATTCATATAAATCCATCTTACGGACTCCATTTTATTCATTATCCAAGAACTTATACTTATGCTACTGAGTTTAGGTCTCATATAGGTCCACAACTGGCTCGTAGAAACTTTAAAGATGGCACACAGCGCTAAGAAATTATTACACAGGCTTTGTGTGTAAATGTGTTATCCCACTGTTGTGTATAATGATAAGAAATGGATACCGTAAACATCTAATAATAGAGAATAGGTAAGTAAACTTATACACACACATATCTATATTATTTTGCAAGTATCAAAAATGCCTTAAAACATAACTAAATTTTAAAAACTAGATACAAAAATATTTCTAAAGAATGGTCATAACTATGTAACACAAAATAAAGCTAGTCTGATCCAAAAAAGTACATAAAAATGATCATAACTATGTAACACAAAACAAAATTAATCCCCCAAAAGGAAGGAAATTGTACCAAAATTTTAACAAAACTATCTTTAGGTGGTAGGCAAGAGAAGCACCAGCGTCAGGCAATCTAACAACCACCAAAAAAAAAAAAAAAAAAAACCTTAGTAATAAAGATAATCATATTTTACACAATTTTTTAAAAATCAGAATTACTGCAAAAAAAATTATGAAGAGCAAAATATCAAAATTTTAAATAAAGACAAAATCAGGAACAATGCCCTGCTGAGCCACATTGGAGACTCAAGTATAAGGAAAATTTAGTGATAACTGATCTTGACCCTTCCTGGTCCTGGTGGTAAGGGAAGGCCTGAAGAATGAGTATTACCTTGATCATCTATTTAAAATTACAATCTGCATCCTTAGATCCTAGAAATAAAAAGGGCTCTGAAGCACATACAGCAAAAAATTAATGTCGGTATTATTTTTGTGCATTTTATTTCCTAATTAAAAAAAAAAAAGGCAACAACAATTAAAAACAGTGCAATGTGCTCTACGTCAAGCTATTTAAATAACTTTATTAAAGTCCACTCTTACCTGGAATGTGTGAATAGTTCTTGCCCATGCATGTTTTATGCGACAACACTGTATTAGTTTTCCAAAATCCACAGTTACTTCCAAGCCAGCAAAATTATTAATGGTCAAAGATCTTCTCTTCCCAAAAGTTATATCAGTTATATCCTGTCAGCAAAACAAAGCAGAACTATTTTCTATATCTTTAAATATGCACACAGTAAAGACACTTTATCTTCAGGTTGAACACAAAATGCAATCTCCTTATAAGTATATTCATTACAATGGTTAAGAATTTCAAAAGACAACAAAATCTGTACTTGAGCACAAACTGTGAATATATCTGCACCCAAATACTTCAATAAACACAAATAAAAGTTTTAGTCCTTGAAAGTTAGGCTTAATTTCAACTCTCTGAAGGACAGTCTGTATTTTCTTTATTTTGAAGTCTGTGTATTTCATTTTTTGTACTGACCGCCTAAGTCTCTATATACTTTTTGCAGAGAGATTACTTTTCTTTACTTATAGCTTTCAAGGCAGATCATGAGTTTCGGAGTGGGTCTACACAATGCGAATGAATACAAGATCATACGCTTCTTTAGTTTTTATACTTAAGCAGCAACCAAGGAGATGATGAGTTACAAAATACAGTGTCTCATCTGTGCCTTACTTTTTGTTACTAAAGCACTTCAAGTTTATTAACAGTATGTTTCTTCACAAACTCTTCCAGAAAATATAAGAGGAAGGAATTCTTTTTAATTCATTTTATGAGGCCAGCATTACTTTCATATCAAAACCAGATATACCAATATCCCTCATGAACATAGGTGCAAAAATCCTTAACAAAATATTACAGAACAAGAATGTCAACTGTGATACTAGTTTCTGAATCAATCCTAGGACAATAAAAAATAAATATACCTCTAATAGGTTAAAAACAAAAGTAATATTTTCTGTTATCACTTACTCCTGTTATAAAAAATATTTCTCCATTGCATAGTCGAATATCACTTTCAAAGTTACGCTTATTTTTATTTTTAGCAAAATCACGAGGAGTAACATCAAGGTCTTCACCACTGGCCTGTAGTTCATTATTCTGCAGACTTTCAGAAGTATTTTCAGGGAGTAAATCGGAGAGATATGCATTCCTCGTACAACAAATTTTATCACCAACTCCAAATACAAGTCTATTATGATGGTCTCTGGGTGAGGCAACGAAGATACGGCATCAAAGTTGGGAAAATCTCAATCTCATTTTGTTTAAACATTAGTTCCCACTCAGACTGATCCTATTCTCAAAATAATTTCCACATTTTCTCTACTTTGCCTTCATTCTCCAAAGGTCAACAAGAAATCAAGTGCCCACAGTTGTCATCTGATTCTTTAAACATACTCCCTGCGGCACCTCAAACTCAATGACGTTTCCCAAGTGTTATGGATTGAATTGTTTCCTCCAAAAATACGTGTTTTAACTCCTAACCTGTATGTCTGTAGCTATAATCCCATTTGGGAATGAGTATTCTGTTATGTTAATGAGGCAGGATTAGTACAGGGTGTGTCTCAAGTTAATCTCTTACAAGAAATAAAGATTAGATTCAGCAAGCAGAGATGGGGGAAGAAAGATGCCAAGCCACATAAAGATCGCCCTGGAGCAGAAGCTCAGAAGAGACAAGGACCTTCCTCCAGAGCTGACAGAGAGCGAAAGCCTTCCCCTAGAGCCAGCACCCTGAATTTGGACTTCTAGCCTCCTAAATTGTGAGAAAATAAATTTCTGTTTGTTAAAGCCATCCACTTGTGGCATTTCTGTTACAGCAGCACTAGATAACTAAGATACCAACTAAACTTTGCAACTGAGAAATCTTGGCATAACTGCTGAAAAACACTGTAAGAGAGAGTAGAACTAACCCCATAGGGTTTCCAAGGAGCGGCTGGTGCATTCGAACTGCTGACCTTTTAGTTAACAGCCGAGCTCTTAACCACTGTGCCACCAGGGCTCCTATATTTTAACAGTTACCAAAAATCTTAATGATTTTACCTTTTAAATTCATCTTCTGCTCTCCAATCTCTTCTATCACTACCCTATTTCAAGTACTCATTTTCTCTTATTCTGACTGTTGTAATCTTTTTCCTATTCTTTCTCCGCTCTAATACAACTGCCACACAATTGGAGAAAGAATTTTCCAGAAAGATCTGAACATGTCATTCCTATGCACAGAACCATCAATCAGACAAGTCCAACATCTTCAGCAGGATATATCCAGTTTGGCTGAGCCTAGCCTTTCTCCTTTGTGCCCTCCCTTGGCCGGGAAAATTTTACACTACAGCCAAACTGGTTTTTTTGGCCCTTTTTAAAAAAATGCTCTTTAAAAAAAAAATTCACATATCTTTGTGAGTTGCTCGTGCTGCTTGCTTCACCTGAAATGCTCTCCTTCACTCAGAGGGCTTTTATCCATCCTTCAGGACCAAGCTCCATTGTTACATCCTTGTAAAATCTTTCTGGACATCCCACACTCAGTAGAATGAATCACTCCTTCATCCTTGTTCCCATAGCACTCATACATATTTCTATTATAACATTTATGACACTACATCAGAATAATAGCAAGTGTTGACTAAATGTTGGCAACATGCCAGTTACTATGATAAGTGCATTATGTAGATTACTTCATTTCATCCTTACTACAAGTCTGTGAGGGGAAATTCTGGATAAATATTCTCTTTTACATCTGCTTAGAAAGGTGAAACTACCTGCCGAAGATCACAGTTACTGGGACTTAGACTGTATGGGCTAAAACCCCATGCTTTTTAACCCATGTGTTATGTATGCTGCTTGACACAGTTTTGTGTCTTCTCTCAGGGAGCTCCTCTTGTATTTTGCACATCTTTGGGTCCTCTGCACTTAGTAATAAGTAGGTATTGTTAAATGCAAGGGAAATGAATAACTTTGCTGTGTATGAACAGTGGCTACTCGCACTCATATTTCTCTGATGGATGCTCACAAAGGTGCTAGCATCCTGCTGCTAAGGTTCTAGAAAGCACTATATACATATTACAATTTTAAAAACTCTACTGAACCGCCCAAGCTCATCTTGGATAAGCTAGAGCTTGTCATCTTGGAAACCACAAAGAAGATTTTACTCCTTTATTTTCTTGCTACACTGACAACCAAATAGTCAATTTTTTTTCTATCGATCTATATTATATTTCAGTGATGAGATACTTAAACTTCATACATGAGAAAAAAAAAAGTTTTAAATATGTGGCTACAGCTGACAAATTTCAAAGAAAACAAAAGAAACCAACAAAAAACAACAGCAAAGCAAGGAAGGACTGTCCTCAAAGTTCTCGTTCTTTACTCACTTGTTTAAGCGGCCTGTGTAGTGCTTGGAACAGCAGTGATTGATTAGATCACAGTCTTGCCTGAAACATATGAAAATACCACTTTAGTGGTATCTGCTATGTGCTTCTTTATGTTACCAACAATTATGATGCACAGGATTCTATAAAAAGTTTCCAGGACCTTCTCCAAGAAAAAGCACTCTGCAATTTTTAAAATAAACTTTTGTTGCAGTCAGATTTCCAGTGAGTTTCCAAACAAGTATGTGGTAGAAAGTCCTCTTTAGAAACTGCTCTCTGCCACATGTAACAAAAAAAATTCCCCGAAATAAAGGAGAATTAACATTGATGAACTATGACAGTCTCACATCCAATTAGAATCTATATTAACAAGTTACAAGATTTAAAAGCTGATTAAAAACTTTAAATTACTGTAAATGCTTTACCTTCTAAATGCAATAAATTGTGATGTTTTTTCATCTTTTAGGTCCTCTTCTTTGAGTAAAGTTCCAACCACAGAATATAAATCTGATAATTCAAGACAAAATAGTTACGACAGAAAGTCACCAAATTACAACAGTTTTTGTATGAAAAGCCTAATTCAACAATAGGGAAGAGGATAAAGAGAGGGGGTCCAGATGTCCCACTGTCAACAGAGAGGTCAGTCCCTGGTCAGGTCAGCTCCCAATCTGTTTACACTCACTTCATATTCACTGATGGCCCAACAATCTCCTTCCTTCCTCCAGAACCCCCAGATCTCCCATGCATGAGTAAGCAATGAAAAGGTTAACTTAGCATAGCAGGGGCATCCTTTCCAATGGTGCCCACGCCCTTGCAGTTAAACAGTTTAACTACCACCAGTTGCTATCAAGTCGCCTCTGACTCATGGAAATCCCATGTGTATCAGGTAACTATGCTCCACAGGGTTTCAATGGCTGATTTTGCAGAAGTAGATTGCCAGGCCTTTCTTCCAAGGCACTTCTGGGTGGACTCGAACCTCCAATGTTTGGGTTCGCAACTGAGCACACTAGCATTTGCACCACCCACGAACTCCAAACAGTTTAATTATCACCACTGATTACATCCATGGCGTAGTGGTTAAGAGCTATGGCTGCTAACCAAAAGGTCAGCAGGTTGAATCCACCAGCAGCTCCTTGGAAACCCTACAGGGCACTTCTACTTTGTCCTATAGGGTTGCTATGAGTCGGAATCGACTTGATGGCAATGGGTTTGGTTTTGGTCATTAATGTAAAGAGTGAGTGCTAGAAATGAAACCATAAAAATATTTTACGTAGATCTAAATGAAGTGACAAGGAAGGAGAGTTACTTAACCGTCTAAGTCTCTTTTTTTAATCTGTAATAAACCAGGTGTCGTCGAGTTGCCTCCAACTCATTGCGTCCCCATGTGTGTCAGAGTACAACTGTGCTCCACAGGGTTTTCAATGGCTAATTTTTCGGAAGTAAATCGCCAGGCCTTTCTTCCAAAGCACCTCTAGGTGGACTCAAACGGCTAACCTTTGGGTTAGCAGCTGAGAGCATTACCCTTTGTACCACCTAGGGACTCCTCAACTGTAATAGTACCTACTATTAACTAGGCTGTTATGAGAAAACATGTTAGCTATTAATTATTCATGATATACTATACTAAAAAGTCATAAAACAGTATGCAGACTATAATCCAGTTTATATAAAACTATTAAATAAATAATATGTATGTATATATATATATTAAGGTTTAACAAGATAAACACCAAGCAAGCACTTCCTATGTACATGATCTTTATGGGGTTGTCTTTGGAGAAGAGGGGAGGGGAAGATTCTGGGAGAATATTAATTTTTACTTTAAATACTTTTGTATTGTTTGACTTTTTTTTTAATGAGTATAAATTATTTCTAAAATCAAAGAAATACAAAAAGCCATGTTATGGAACATTATGTGTATTACAGGATCCCATTTATTTAAAAAATAATAATACTTTAACCTATGACTAAACATTAACCAAAGGGAAGTGAGATTGGTGACACACACAAAGTAGGGAAAGACTTAACAGACAAAGTCATATATGACTTACATTCACATACAGAGTTGAATGTAGTCAGTGGGAAGGATGTACCCTTGAGAACTGTGGCAACAACACTAAATCCTCAATAATAATCATTTAAAAAAAAAAAAAAATCAAACCCACTGCGATCGAGTCAATTCTGACACGCAGCAAGCCTATAGGACAGAGCAGAACTGCCCCTAAGGGTTTCCAAGGCTGTAATCTTTATGGAAGCAGACTGACACATCTTTCTCCCATGGAACAGCTGGTGGGTTCGAACCACTGACCTTTCGGTTAGCAGCCGAGTGCTTAACCACTGCGCCACCAGGGCTCCTCAATCTCTAATTTTGGGTAAACTGTTGCACTATACAAAAAGTTTGCTGAATGAATATATAATACAAATAAGGATAAACAGAGGTTTAATCTATTTAAATAAATTTATTTCTAATAGGCAATTTAAAAACATCAATTATCCACAAAAAAACTAACATCTATATACTGCCTCATTACAAGTCCCATTTTACAAGTGGTTAAGTGACGTGACACAGGTCATATACAAAAGGGAGAAGATTCCCTACCCCATGCTCTTTCTAGACTCTGTCATCCTGTCATCTTAGACCTATATAAATAGAAGCAACGCTTGTCTATTCTGTAAAACACAGCTACAGTAAAACCTGCAAAAGCTGGAAGCTATATAAGGCAGAAACCTATCACAAAAGGAAACCTCAAGTATCTTCCACTAAAACGAGTGATAGAAAAGTGGTAAGACTGCACCTTGTCAAAGGCGGGAAACTTGAGAGACCCAGAAAAACAAGGCAACGCTTTGATAGCCATGGCTTCTCTTTCATTGATACACTCAAAATAACAAATGTATTTGCTTTTCGAATTGCTATTTAAATAAAAAAAAACTTTATTAGTTCAGACATGCTTTCTCCTAAATGAACTTAGATTAGTGGAAACCAAACCAAACCAAACCCGTTGCCGTGGGGTTGATTCCAACTCATAGCAACCCTACAGGGCAGAGCAGAACTGCTCCATATGGTTTCCAAGGAGCAGCTGGTGGATTCGAACTGCCAACCTTCCGGTCAGCAGCTATAGCACTTAACCACTATGCCACCAGGGTTTCCTGGATTAGTAGAGTGTTGCTTTATTTTGAAAATGAAATCACCTACATCTATTTATTCACTCAACAAACATTTAATAAGCCATACTTATTTATAAAATTCTAGGGTGATCTGATTTTGATGATTCATAAATTAGTTTATTTATTTTCAGTGCCTTATTTTTTATTAGCAGTATTTATCTTTACTGTAAAATAAAATTGTAACGGGTGATTTAATAACTATGTTACAAAACTGAGATACTTAACCTTCTGTATCATAAGAGTTTACACTTACGAGGGTGATGATTACTTTTAGATAACTGAGAACCAGTATCATCTTCTGGAAGTCGGACAAAAATAAATGTCTTATCTTGAATTGAGATGGGGAGTGTTAGATTATCAGAAATATTCAGCTCTGCATCAAATTTTGGAAACTGGCGTCTTGCGATTCTTGAATAAAGATAAAAAATACACCAGGAATATTACCATCCAAAACTGTGTCTTCATATATGATCAGAGCAAATGTCATCACAGTAATTAATATCTGTTAATAGATAATAAATAAGGAGAAAAGGCCACCTGGATACGCATTATAAATAGTAAATGAGTTTTATAATAAGAATTAGCAGGACCATATGTTATGGCACTACACTTAGCAATCAGTCCCCTTCCCCTAACAAATTAAAAGTTAGAAAAAGCATCAGAAAAAATCATCTTCAAAACTCACCGGGTTGTACAACAGGAAGAAAAAAAAATAGTTGTTGTGAAGTCGATTCTGACTCACAGTGATCCCATGCATGTGAGAGCAGAACTGTGCTCTAAAATCAACTTCAGTGACTGATTTTGTGGAAGCAGATTGCCAGGCCTTTCTTCCAAGGTGACTCTGAGTGGACTCAAATCTCTAACCTTTCAGTTTAGCAGCCAAGCACATTAACGATTTGCACAACACAAAGAGTGAACTGTAATGTAAACTATGGACTTTAGTTATTAATAATGTGTCAATACTGGCTTCACCAGCTGTAACAAATGTGCCACAGGAATGCAAGACACTAGTAATAGGAGAAACGGAGGAGGGAGGCATATGGGAAGTCTATAGTTTTTTAACAATTTTTTGGTAAACCTGAAACTGTTCTAAAAAATAAAGTCTATTAAAAAAAAATTACCAGAAAATTTACCGAGCACCATTCTGATAACTTGGCCTACTTATCTCCAGACCTCAAAAACCCATAAAAGGTAGGTACTATCCTCATTTCACAGGTGAGGAATATGAGGCTCAGTTAAGCTTACTGGGTTGCCCAAGGCCACAAAAGTAGAAAGCAGGGAAACTGGGAGGCAAATATAGGCCCATTTGGCTCCATATCCCTTTCTACTTGAATTAATTTGGACTCTGGGACCTTTTCGGTGTGTTTACACCATACCCTTTATTTTCGCCTTTCTTCTGCATGTATCATAGGTATGGCTCCATTTCCCCGAAACGAACCAAGAATCCACATCTTCTCTTTGCTGCTATTCCCTCCACATCCTTCTCTTGTTCTTGTATTTTCTAAGTCTTACAAGTCATATCAGAAAATAGAGTAAGGTACAGGCACCTTGTCTTAACAGAGCCTTTCCTTGGATACTTGGAAGAATGGCTCCCTGAACAGACCTAACAACAGCCTGGCTATCAAAAGTGGCAGTAAACTACTGTGCCATCTTTGCCCCTTCCTAAAAGAAGATGGAAAGAGAGGAAAGGATAAGGAAAAAGGTGGTCTGGTGCCTGCTGGAAATGTCTCAGATTTAATTTGGGGGTCCTGAGAATCATCACAGATCTGCTGTTTTGGTTCTGACCCAGAAAATACATCATACTTCTATTTCTATATGCTTTTCCCTGGTATATCACAGAGATCCTTCACAGTCAATAAATATTTGGTGATGCTGATTAAGGAGAAATATTGAAAGGAGCACAGCTCAGCCCAAATGACACTGAAAGGATTACTAAAAGGAATTCCTGAGTCTCAGATAAAACTGGGTTCTAAGAAATCTAACGTGCTCTAGATTCTTCCAAGTTTTCTGGACTTTAAAATGACCCGATTATCTACCAACAGCCCAAAAACGAACTGGCCTTTAGGTAGGAGCAGAAGGGTAACAGGAAAAGAACATTATATATCCGACTCCATTATTTTTCTTAATGACTTAAAAAGAGCCCATATGATCTACTCTGTGCCTTTCAATTAGTTCTCTACACCCTTTATTCCGTCCACAGTACCCAGGGGCACAGACAAAGTAGGTTTTGAATGTTCTAGCTTCTGCTGACATCCAATCAACGAGATGTTCAAGCACCTAGATATATATATCTACATATATATCTATATCTTTCTCTCTCTATATATATAGTAAAGGGAGTCAAAAACAAAGATAAATTTCAGTCCCATGCATAGAACAGTCTCTTCGTATTCTGAGGTCCCACTACATCTACAGGTTTTAATATTAAAAGAAATGTCATAAAATAGTAATAACTGTGATTTTCTGATATACAGATTATGGAGAAACCAAATTTCTAAGCCCACAGAGGATCACTCCAAAGGCTTATGCAAAGACTAAGGGAAGAGAAGGAGTCTGTTCTACTTTAACAGGAGTAATAAGCCATGATGAATATCATGAGGATTCATCAAGGAGTGAAATAAACCTGTTGCGATCGAGTTGATTCCATTTCATAGCAACCCTATAGGACAGAGTAGAACTGCCCCCTAAGGTTTCCAAGCAGCACCTGGTGGATTCGAACCGCCGACCTTTTGGTTAGCAGCTGTAGCTCTTAACCACTACGCCACCAGGGTTTCCAGGAGTGAAACAGCACATTTAACTTTTTGCTTTGGGCTCTTTCCCCTAGAAATTAGAGAAAATTTCTTCCCAATTTTCCCTTGAATTCGAGAGAACTAATTTCCAAGTAAGGAGTCCTGGTGGAGCAGTGGTTAAAGCACTCAGTTGCTAACTAAAACGTCAGTGGTTTGAATCCACCAGCTGCTTCACAGAAGAAAGATGTAGCTGTCTGCTTCCATAAAGATGTACAGCCTTGGAAGCTCTATGGGGCAGTTCTACTCTGTCCTATAGGGACGCTAGGAGTTGGAATCGACTCGATGACAAAGGGTTTGGGTTTTTTTTTTTTTGGTTATTTACCAAGGCTTTGCTCCCCTTGACCTTATTTTAGTCTCTAAACTTGATACAACTTTATTATATTTGAATTTTTTTTTTTAATTAAGGTGAAATTCACATAACATAAAACCAACCACTTTAAAGTAAACAATTCTGTGGCATTCAGAGCATTCACAATGTTGTAAGTGGAATCACCACTTCTACCTAATCTAGGTCCACAACATTTTCATCACTCCAGAAGGAAAGCCTGTACCAATTAAGCTGTTGCTCCTCATATCCCTCCCCATATATATAGACATATCTTTTAAATCAGAAAAAAATCCATCCTTATATTTCTATAATTATTTATGCTAGACTAGTAATGAAAAAACATTAACTGCTTTTCTAAATGTTAGGTGAAAGTTATATACCTGAAGGATAGAATAGTTTTGCTAAAAGTTTATAGTAAATGTATTGCACTGAATTGCTCTAATTAAAAAGCTTACACACATACATATGTTTTACCCTTTATTTCTAATACAACCGAGAGAAAATACAGAATCTTAGTTACGTCATACCTTGTGGCATTGTCCACAATTAGCTGAGATTCTGCTCTATGGTTTGTCTTTAGCTCAACAGCACAATTTCTTGATTTAAGAGTCTCAAAAAGATCTTTCAGCAAGTTGCCAGGCTCAATGCTGGGTAATTGTCTAATATCACCTAAAAGAGGGGGGTAAAACAGTTACAGTAAGTTTTAGGAACTGGGATCCTGAAATTCAGAAATTATTTTTCTCTCTCCCACAGATACATGTTACAATTATAATGACTTACTCTAACAGAGAAAAATAGCCAGAAAATTTTTCATTTACATTTACTTAAGAATATAAGAACTTAAAAATATTTAACAAAAATAATATTCAAACTAAACAGCGTTTAAGATATGAAAAACAGTGAAACACAATAAGGTACAAAATCTAAATCAAACTTCTTACATACTATAACAGATGAACTGTGTAGGGGCATATCTTTTAGTCATCATTTTAAAAAACAGGCCTTAGATATACAGTATTTAGTCACTTGTTCACTCTTGCTCAATATTTTACTCAACATGGAAGAATCTATGGCCTCAGACACATAACATATAAAATAAACAAACCAAATGCATTAGATAATGAATAAATTTCAGTAACATAATTATGTTTTTCTCTATTAAAAATCTTTTGTTTAAAAAAAAACAAACAAAAAAATCCTAAAGATAAGAAAAATATTTACCTGGTGGCAATGAGGAGAATGCTTAAAGCCATTAATAGAACCAACTGCTTGTAAAATATCCTCAAATACATAAAATATTGTTTACATACAATTTGATTCTCAAAATGTTATTTCTTCTCCATTAAATCATACAGCCTACACAGATCACTACTACCCAAAAGAATCTCATCAGAATTGGAAGAGATTTAAGAGACTGATGAGGTCTAATTTGAGTTATTAGCTTAGAATAATAAAATTACTTTTAAATGGTCTGTAATTCAGACTTCTTACAACTTCCAAATGATCTGCATCCTGATTTTCTCTGACTCTGAGACATTTTTATTGTTTTAATAGCCCTCTTTTAGGTGATTAACAGTAACCCCTTACATTCACATCCTAGCCTGGCCAAAATAAAGAACCACCCAAGCTCATTAGAAGAGTGGTCGGAACTAACTCAGCGTAGCTTTGAGAAATGGCTTCCTGCCTTTAAAATGCTGTAAACAGCCTACTAACCACAATGCTTTGAACTAAACATCGGAATTCCAATGATATTTTAACTTACCAAGGACAATAAGCTTAGAAAGTTTGGAGTGCTCACACAATAAATTTAAAACTGATTTGAAGATTCTTACAGATACCAAACTCCCTTCATCCACAACCAGAACTCTAATTGATGAAAATTTCCATGGCTTGTCCTTCATCATCTTATTTTTCTCCCATAAGTAGAAGCTGTAATTGACCTACAAGCGAAGTATAGGATTTCTAAATTCAGGTTTAAAAAATCTGTACAAAAAATTCTAACAGCATGTTTTTTAAAACAAAAATCTTAAATGGGGGGAGGGGAGAGAAACATAGGGAAAAGACTAAAGAAACAGAACACAAAGTTACAGTGATGCATATGCAAAAAGGATAGATCGAATAATTTTTTAATCAAATAGTTAAAGAAAACTGCTTGCTAATGAGTACTTTGTTGTTGTTTGCCATCGAGTCGATTCCAACTCATAGCCACCCTATAGGACAGAGTAGAACTGCCCCATAGGTTTTCAAGGCTGTAATCTTTACGGACGCGGACTGCCACATCTTTCTACTGCGGAGCAGCTGGTGGGTTTGAATCGCAGGCCTTTTGGTTTGCAGCTGAGTGCTTAACCACTGCGCCACCAGGGCTCCTTCAATGAATACTTAGCATGTTTAATTTCACAAACTTCACATACAGTGCTAATCTACTGCTCTCATCACTCTTGACCAGAGAAAGCCGCCTTTTCTTTTCCAAATAAACCTTGGTCTTTTGAGATATTCCCAATCACTTAAGCTCTCTTCCTCTACCAATCCAATGATTCCATTCTGGAGATAAAGGGCTGCCTTCCCAACCTAACTAAGAAAACACTATATTCTCTTCCTAGTATTCTAAACTTCTTAAAATTTCCCCAAAACCACTAACACCAACAATAATAAAACATACAACAAAACTATTTATTCCAGAGGTAATATCACTATTTTAAAAATACAGATGAGGAAGAAAAGCTATTTATAAAATTATAACCAGAGAACATTTTAGCGTATATCATTCCAGAAATGTTTCTATGTTGTAAGTGTGGATATATACGTATAAACAAATGATAACATATCATCTTTATTTATTTTGCCGAAACTAGATTCAACATGTCTGTAAGTAAAACCTTCAGATTTCCCACCCAAATGCATCGGTTCCCTTCAACAAAACCCCCCATTCTCTGTGACCTTGTCTCACAATACAGCAGTTTGGAACCCCTTTTGATTGTTGTCTTTCATTTTATATATTCAATTAGTTATCTTACAAGTGCCTGATTGACACTTTCCACTGAATTTCTACTGCTACCAACTCAATACAGGCCCTTCTATGAGGACCTAAATCATCCCAACAGCCTTACAGCCAGGTTCTCTTAACACACTAGCCCAAGATAGGACAGCCAGGTAAGATACAAGACACTCAGTTCAATTTGAATTTGCAGATAAACAACAAATAATTTTTAGTATAAGTATATCCCATGTAATATTTGGGACACACACTAAAAAACTATTTTGATTTTTTTTATTTGCTACTAGCAAACTTAAGGAGCCCTGGTGACTCAATGGCTAAGCACTAGGCTGCTAACCAAAAAGTCAGTGGTTAGAACCTACCAGCCTCTCTGTGGGAGAAAAAAACCTGGCAATCTGCTATAGAGATTACAGCCTAGGAAACCCTAAGGGGCAGTTCCACTTAGGCACATCGGGTCACTAAGAGTTGGAATCAACTCAATGGCACATAACAACAATGGCAAACCTAGCCCAAGAATGATAAATAAGTTGCATTAGTGCCACGCCAGTCCTTTTCATGTGCCCTAGCACTCTCTCCTGAGCCTAAATGTGGCTTAAGAAATGTTCTCCCAGCATCCCAAGCAAATATAAAGATATTACCAATTGGTCAGAGTATGCATGTGAGGTGAAACATAGTATTGATCTCTGTCTGGTCTCTTCTAATCAATCCTGCAGACTAATCAGGCATGAAGTCATAGTGCAAAAATCATGAACTGATCAGAAGACTGTCACCAATGAGCTATATGGACAAGTCACTGAGCTTCTCTAGGCCCCCATTCACTCATCTAACAAATAAAAGTAATGGCCAAGATGATTTCTGAGGTGGCTCCTCGTTCTGATTCTATGTTAATCTTCTTTAAAATTGCTTTCTTCATTTCAGTTTCCGCCTCAGAAACCTAAACTGCTCCTTTGTAAATCAAGTTTCAACTTCTTTGTTAGGAGTTCAACATCTATAATAAAATACGGAAATTATGGTACCATGGAAAAAGTAACAAGCCGAGGTCAGAAATCTGAATTAGTGTTTGTCTTAGTTATCTAGTGCTGCTATAACAGAAATACCACAAGTGGATGGCTTCAACAAGCAGAACTTTATTCTCTCACAGTTTAGGAGGCCAGAAGTCCAAATTCAGAGTGCTAGCTGTAGGGGAAGGCTTTTTCTCTCTGTTGGCTCTGGAGGAAGGTCCTTGTCATCAATCTTCCCCTAGTCTAGGAGCTTCTCAGCACAGGGACCCCAAGTCGGAAGATGCACTCCGCTCCTGGTTCTTCTTGCTTAGTGGTAATGAGGTCCCTCTCCTCTCTGCTCACTTCTGTCTTTTATATCTCAAAAGAGATTGACTCAAGATACAACCTAATCCAGTAGATTGTGTCCTGTCTCATTAACATAGCTGCATCTAATCCTGCCTCATCAACATCATAGAGGTTAGGATTTACAACACATAGGTAATCATATCAGATCACAAAATGGAGGACAACCACACAAAATTAGGAATCATGGCCTAGCCAAGTCGACACACATTTTTGGGGGACACAATTCAATCTCTTAATAGCATCCTAGTTCCTTACTTGAGATTTTGGACAAAAAGTTTAACACCCCAAAATTCAGCCAGCTCTTCTATAAAAATGGAGATAAAATCACTTACCACTTCACAGGATTGTCAAGAGTTTAATGAGATAATGTCAAAATACTTTACAAACTTTAAAGCTCAAATTCCCCAAGCAAAGTTTAATTTCCATTATTCTGCAATACACAGCCTTCACTCCATCGATGGAGCCACCTCCAAACCCTTTATATGTCCTGTGATCATTCTACTCAAAGCCTCTGGAAAGGCCTGTCCCCTAAACAAAATGTTCTCCTCCTCACCTGAGCCTACTGTCCTCTAAAGTCCAATTCAATTATTACATCCTTCATAAATCTTCCAACTACCAAGTTTCTTTATCTATAGAATGGCAGGTCAGGGCTAGAAGAACGTCTTCAACTCTTTACAAGTCTAAAATTCCACAACTCTGAATTATGGCCAAACTATTTTTACAAGCATAGTATTCACTTGAAATTTCTGTTAAGTGTCTACTATCTACAAGGCACTGTTCTAAGGGGGAGAACATGAAAAATTAAACCAGATGAACAAAGTCCTCACTCTCATGAAGCCTTCATTCTAAAAGGCACAAACCTTTTTCTTCAATCTCCAATGCTACTCAAGGCGTGGTCTGTGGACTATGACATGTTTATAACCACTCCCAATGAAAAACAGAGCTTGTGCCAGAGTTTAAACTAACTACATCATTAAACATATACTTTAGTTCAGCTGCCTTTTTATTCATAAGACTTTCTTAATGAGGGAAGCAGTGCAATGATTTACTCTATGGCACAAGCTCCTTTGTCACTGCAAACTGGTAATGGTTCACAGACTGTCTTGAGTAACAAAGATCTAAACTATTATCTACTACAAGGCAGGGACCCAGCAGACAATAAATACCTATTGATTGTCATCAATAATTAAAAAATGCTTAAACTCTCTAAATAAAGTCTGTGCTTTAAGACAAATATTTTATTTAACAAAATGTAAAGGTTTTACCTGACATAGTGTATAAGCATGAAGACCAGTTTTCTGTCGCAGTAAGCCAGCTGCTTTCCCTGTGGGTGCTGTAAGTAAAACTTCTATAGCCTTGCCTGCCTCTAGTTGGCTTTGCTCAGTAAAGGTCACCCATTCTTCTGATACATCCTGGTCTTGCTCAAAATCTTCACAAGCTTTTTTCACTTCTCTTTCTTCCAACTGCTCTATGTGCTTAAAAAGGTGGCTAACAATTGTGGTCTTTCCACAACCACCTTTTCCACTTATGACTGTCACAGCATTTGCACAAATCATTTCCAAAGCAGTCACCTGATCCCGATCCAGTTGAACTTCACTTATTTCTGCATTAAGTTCATTTTCACCATCATGGTCACTATTGTCCTGTGTGTCCAGAATGTGCACAGAATTTTCTAATCTTGTTTCATCCAGTTTACTTTCATTCAATACATCAGCACATTCTGAATTCTCAGGTTTGCGGGCCTGAAGAGATGCAAGCACCTTTTTAACATCTACATGTAGATCCCATGGAGGTCTCATCATCAGGTGGCATATAGAAGAGGCAATGTCCCTTTCGGCCTGGTAAAGGTCATAAGGAAAGACACAGCCTTTCTCGTATGTCACCACACCAGAATCCTTCAAAAACTTCAGAGACTGCCAAGCATCATCAAAAGACATACGGTCTGACAATTTAGAAGTTAATTCAGCTTCTTCAATACAAGTGTGCCCGTGTTCTCTACATATCTGCTTCAGTTTAGAATATATTATTAATGCATTCTTCTCTAGATCACTCATCAACTGGAGAAGAGACTTGCACTGACAAAAGGCTGTCCAACTTGCCTCACACTGCAAGAGCTTCAATTCTCTGTAGGTTATCTTTAAGAAAATACACAAAGTTCAAACTGCTGTATAAAAAATTATGCTGATGAACAGTATTAGACTTACAATAAAAACTGTTATTTCTTAACTTTTTTTATTTCCCAAGAGACAGATATTTCAACTTAATTTGGAGAAAAAAAACAACGCGCCTAATATATCATTTTTGTAAATGTACAGATTGCGATTAGTGATATGTATAAATTTGTATATTAAAACTGTATTTTATCAAATCAATACATGTATGGTTTTAAAATTCAAGTAATACTATGAGATTATAATAAAAAACAGGAATTCCCTGCTTCACCCCTCACATGCTTTCTAACAGCAATCACCTTCAACTCGAGTTATTTTTTCCAGAATTTACCTCCGCATTTCTAAATACTGTTTATATTATTCCTTGATTTCTTTTTTTTACATTTTAACCGTTTATTATTAACTCCCTAACTCTTTACTTACTTTACTAAATCCAAGTATCCATGGACATGTACCCAAAATCTCTTCTATTGCTTCCAAAAGCATTGTAGAGTCTGAGTTTATGAGCTGTTTAAAGTGACGAGGAAGAAGAACTGGAAGGAATTCCATTATTTTTGGAAACTGTAAAGCTCTCATAACATTTTTAAATGCAACTATAGGATATCAGAAAAGAACAAATTAAAACATACAAATGAGCTCACAGACAAACTGATTTGAAATACTTCCTCATTTAGCACAACCAGTTCAAGAAATCCAAATCAGAGGGATGAATGAATTTACTTTAAAAAGTAAGAAAACTGATCACGTTATGACAATTCCTTTTGTACTGAGATGGTTTCTCATTATGTTCAACATCAAAATTCATGTTCTTTAAAAGTTTAGATAACTACTTCTTAGCCTTTTGCTTATAATATAAACAGAACCAAATTTTTTACTCAATGATATACAATTTAAAGCTAAGCATAAAAAGAAAAATCATTTACATATTAATCTTTATAATCATTTTTCCAACTATAATCATGATTCTTTTGTCATTGAAGGCATTCAGTGATGTACTGTCAAATTTATTTGATAGAACTAAGAAATAGAATGTCCATAGTTATGAATGCCCAGATAACAAATTTACCATACTTAAAAAAATTATCTTAAACCATTTGGACTGAAACCTTTCCAAAACAGATTACTCACATCCTTGCCTTTCCCCTCTGCCTTCTTAAACAGAATTAAACTTAAACTGAACTTTTTCTTATAGACTCAGAGTAATTCTTATTGACACAGAAGTTATTGTTAGCTGCTGTCAGGTCAGCTCCAACTCACGGCAACCTTACATACAACAGAGCAAAATGTTGCCTGGTTCTGTGCCATCTTCACAATCCTTGGTGTGCTCAAGTCCACTGTTATGAACACCATGTATTCTGAATGTCTTCCAACCTAGGGGACTCATCTTCCTGTGCTATACTAGACAATATTGTGTTGTGATCCATAGGGTTTATTGGACAATATTCTCTTGTGATCCATAGTGTTTTCACTGGCTACTTTTTGGAAGTAGATCACCAGGTCTTTCTTCCTAGTTTGTCTCTGTCTGGAAGCTCCACTGTAACCTGCCCATCACGGGTGCCCATGCTGGTATTTGAAACATCAGTGGCATAGCTTTAGCATCATAGCCACATGCAAGCCACCACAGAATGACAGACTGATGGGTGGTGGACGCAAAAGTTAGACAGTTTTAAAGCTGGAAAGGAGCTGAAAGGACCTTAAAGGTCACCTCATCCAATCCCTTCATGTTATGGATGAGGAACCGGAAATCCAAAAAGGTCACTTTTTTTGTGATGCATTCAAATTCACGTAGTGTTTGCTCTTCTGCTACATGGATGCAGACTTCCTGTCTGCTTTTTAGAATTCTTGTTTATTCTCTCCATGTTAGCTGTCTCCTAACACTTCGTACTCTCTTTCATACTACCTTGCCACATATTCCTCTCTATCCCAAATCCTGAGGGACATCACCACCCATATACCTGGCCCATCCAACACCCCAGCATCTCAGCAACTGAACTCCTCAGTTCCCATGACCCTCAGGGCATGGAAATCATCCTCCCTAGAAATGCTCACAGCAAGAACCTTAAATTGAAACACCCTACACTCCTCAATGCCCTATCCTTCCAACACCCTGGCCCTCCCTCCTCATCCATTATTCACAGGGATTACTTTAAAACTCCCCTCTACTCAGCCCTCCTTCATATCCTCATCAACCTCAACTAACACTAACCTATTCCCTTAAAGAAGAAATAAAGGCCACTGCCTCAAATTTCCTCAATTTCCTGCTATCCTCCTTACAAATTTAGTTGCATCTGTGCCCATCCTTTTCTCCTGCCTCTATGACAACAGAAGAGCTATTCCTCCAACTGTGTCCTTTACCACTGTCTACACTCCAGCATTCATTAATTCAACACACATTTACTGAATGCCTGTTATGTTCCAGGTACAGTTCCAGGTACTCGTGACCCAACTATGAACCCAACCAAGTCCCTGCCCACATAGAGCTTACATTCTAGTGAGAGAGTCAAACAAATAAGCAAATAGATACTCCATCAGCTGGTGAAAAGTGCAATGGAGTAATATAAAATTTACTCATTTAAAACGGAAAAAAGCAGTGAGGGACAGGGGAGTGTCAAATGCATTACTATTTCATGTAGAGGAGGAACAAGAAGGTCAGTATAGCTGAAGCAAAAGGAGCAAAGAGTGAAGTTATTAGAGATGTGGTCAGGGAGGTAACAGGAATGAGAGCAGGTAGGGCCTTGTGGCTTTTACTTTACTTTTTATTTTATCTTGTAGCTTCACTTTAACTTAATATTTTAGATTTTACTTTGAATGCAGTGGAAAGATTTTGAGCAGAGGGATAACACGATTTGACTTATAATTTAAAAGGATCACTCTGGCTGTCATGCTGAGAATAAACTGAAGGGGCTGAAAAGAAGTAGTTGGGAGACAACCGCTAACATCTAGGTGGAAATGACAGTGATTTGCACCTGGGCACTAGTGGGAAAGGTGATGAGAACTCTGGGACTCGGGATGTATTCTGAAGGTGAAGCCAACAGTATTTGCAGATGGATTTGGATGTGGGGTACAAGGAAAAAAAGAAGTCTAAGATAATGCCAAGGATATTAACCTGAATAACAGGAAGAGCTGCCAGTTTTCTAAGGAGGTGAAAGCCTGAGGAGAAATGAGCTTGGGGAGGGAAAATCGAGAATTCAGTTTCGGGCATTTTAACTCCATGTTAGTGGAAAGGCTGAGGAGGCAATTGGACATTCCTATTTATAGTTCTGGAGAGAGGTTCAAACTAGAGATGTCTGCAAACCACCTTTTCATACAGGTGGTCTGCAAAGCCATGAGACTGGAGGACCACATCTGGGGAGTAAGGAGAGACAGAGAACAGGTGTAAGGAGTAAGTCTTAGAACATGTGGATGAAGCCTGTGAGGTCAAATAAGAACCAACAGAGTGGTGTTGTAGAAGGCAAGCATTTTAAGAAGGGAGTGACTCACTGTGTCAAATGCTGCTCACAGATGGGGGCTGATAATTAATTAGCCATTGGATTTAGGGAAGAAGATCATTAGTAACCTTGGTAAGAGTAGTTTTGGCAGCTTACTGAAAATGAAAGCATAGCACGAACGTGTAATATTTGTCCAAGAGTTGAAGAGGATACACTCGAAAGAACTGTAGGAGGCCAGGCAAACAGCAGTTGAGTCCACTTGACAGGCTTAGAAACATGTTGAGGACCAATTGGCAGAGCAGTGTGTTTTCCCCAGCCATGTTTAGCTACACAGGTGTGGTGTAGGCAGACAGTTCTGTTAAAACAGGGTTGGTAGGGTTGTGCATAATGGTGATCTTCCTAAAACACAAAGCTGAGCTTGTCATTTCCCTGTTTATACCCATTCAATGGTTTCCCATGACATTTACTATCATCTTTATACTCCAAAAGCAATATAAACATGTTCATCAAACCAATTCAAGAAAATTATGCCCAGACACTAGAGTGATAAGTATCTCATTTACACTAAAACTCAATGATGAAATCACACTTACTTGTGTTCTCCAGGGGAAGACTTATCTCACGATCTGGTACTGACTCTTCCTGTTCATTCTGTGTTGGTTTTTTTTTATTTCTCTTTTCACTTTCTTTTTGGAAAGTTCTTAATGCTTCTGTAATATTTCCAAAGTTTAGGTATTTATAGCTTGATACTCTATTTACCCATTCTGAAAACTGAGTTATAAACTCATCAGAGACCCGACACTCCTTAAGAAAAAGGGAACAGATATGTTCTTGATTTGGTGGTGACATATCAGACTGTAAAAAGTAAGATGGAAATCCTTGAGTATGATACCTCCTTCCCACAGGCTTTACTTGTACCTTCACTCGCCACCAAGGATCTGTTAATGGAAAACGTCCAAACACTTCACATTTCTCTTTAGTGTCTTCATCATAAATTAAAACTTAAAAAAAAAAAAAAAAAAAAAGTAAATTTAGGATATTTTAAAACCCTTTCCCCAATGTTTTATCACGCACACCACTCTTTAATCCCCCCGCAACACCCTGTAGAGATGTCTGTAAGGGCATCCATAACAGTTTATTCCACCTTCATGTTTATTTCTCTCTACCCTACTGAAACTCTCCAGAGTGGGTACTGTGTTTCATTTGTCTCTGAAAACCAAGAGGTGAGCACAATACACAGCAAATGTCTGTACTTCCTGTTCTAAGGGCAATCCTCTCCCTGCTCTTCTGATCTCAGCCAATACTGGCTTTCATACAGTTCTTAAAAATGTCATACTCCCTCCTACCACAGGGCCTTTGCACAAGCTGTTTCATCTGCCTTAAATGTGTTCTCCACACATCCAGTTCACTACAGACCTCAGCTTAATTATCACTTCCTCAGGAAAGCCTTCCCTGAATCTCATGAATCTAACCTCTGACAGCACTATCTACTACTCCTTCTAAGCACTGAGTAATATTATAGTTACTTCCGTGATTGTCTTAAGAACGTCTGTTTAATTCACTAGGCTGTAAGCTCCATTAAGACAGGAACCTCATCATTTTATCTCACCAAGCAACTTGCTTAAAACATAGCTACTGTTGTTGTGTGCCGCTGGTGTGTGTTGTTGTGATTTCAACTCACAGTGATCCTCTATGACAGAAAAGAACTGTCCCTTAGCATTTCTTAGGCTGTAAACTTTATGGGAACAGACTGCCCGGTCTTTCACCTATGGAGGAGCCAGTGGGTTCAAACCGCTGACCTTTCGGTTAGCAGTTTAGTGTTTAACCATTGTGCCACTAAGTCTCCTTTGAAAGATGGTAGCCAGTCAATAATATTCATAATAATATTCATAAGAATGAATGACTGCCTAGCCAAAGCAATACGATAAGGAAAATTAATAAAAGATATCCAGATTGGAAAAGAAATAGTAAAATTATCTCTATTCGCAGATGATATGATCCTACATATAGAAATCCCAAAGAGTCCACTAGAAAACTTCTACAGCTAATAGAGGAATTTAGCAAAGTTGCAGGGTACAAGGTCAACAAATAAAAACCAATTCGGTTTCTGAATACCAGCAATGAAAACTCTCAAACGGAAATTAGGTAAACAATTCCATTTACAATAGCATCTAAGAGAATATAATACCTAGGAATAAATCTAACCAGGGATGTGAAGGACTTATACAATGAAAACTTTAAAAACACTGCTGAAAGACAGTAAAGAAGACTTAAATAAATGGAAAGACTTTCCACGTTCATGGATTGAAGACAACATTGTTAAGATGTCAACACTACCCAAAGCAATCTACAGATTCAACACAATCCCAATCAAAATTTCAACAGCCTTCTTTACAGAATAGAAAAACCAATCCTCAACTTTACATGGAATGGCAAGAGGACCTGAATAGCTAAAACAATGCTGGAAGAGAAGAACAAAGTAGGAGGACTCACACTTTGATTTTAAAACATACTATACAGCTACAGTAATCAAAACAGCCTGGTACCGGTGTAACAACAGACACACAGAACAATGGAATAGAATTGAGAGTCCAGCAATAAACCCACACATTTATGTTCAACTGATTTTTGACAAGGGTGCTAAATCTATTCAATGGGGAAAGAAGAGTCTCTTCAATAAATGGTGCTGGGAAAATTGGATTTCCACATACAGAAAATGAAACAGGATCTGTGCCTCATACCATACACAAAAACCAATTCAAAATGGAATGAAGACCTAAATGTGCAAACTAAACCATAAAATTCTTAGACAAACAAGCAGAGGCAATGCTGTCAGGCCTAGCTTTCAACAATGGGTTATCTACTCTAATAACAAAAGCACAAACAGCAAAAGATTTTACCAAAAAAGTGAAAAAACAAGCTACCAACTGGGAGGCTATCTTTGGAAACTATATATCCGACAAGAATCTAATAAACAAAATATATATAAAACTTTGACAACTTAACAACAAAAAGACAAATAATCCAATCATAAAATGGGCAAAAGACTTGAATAGACATTTCATCAAACAGGACATTCAAATGGCCACCAAACACATGAAAAGATGCTCAGTGTCATTAGCCATCAGAGGATGCAAATCAAAACCACAATGACATACCATTTCCTTCCCACTAGGATGGCTGTGATAAAAAAAAAAAACAAAATTGAAAATAACAAGTTTTGGAGAGAATGTGGGGAAATTGGAACCCTTATCCATGGCTGGTAGGAATGCAAAATGGTACAACTGTTGTGGAAAATAGTGTGGTGGTTCCTCAAAAAACTAAAACTAGAACTACCATATGACACAGCAATTCTACTCCTAAGTATGTATCCAAAAGACTTGAAAGTAGAGACTCAAAAAGAGACTTGTACACCAATGTTCATTGCAGTGGTATTCACAGTAGCCAAAAGGTGGAAATAACCTAAAAGCCCAGCAACAGATGAATGGATAAACAAAATGTGGTATACATGTACAGTGGAATACTACTCAGTAAGAGAAATGAAGTCTTGATACATGCTACAGTATGGGTGGAGCTTGAAGACATTATACTGAGAAAAATAAACCAATCACAAAAGGACAAATATTGTTATGACCCCACTTATATAAAAAGACAAGAAAAGGCAAATGTATAGAGACCAAAGTTTATCAGTGGTTACCAGGGGCAGGAGGGAGGGGGAAAAGGGGGGTTAACAGTGATAGAAAAATTGCATTGATTACGGGTAGGGCTGCACAGCCAATTATTGTAATTGTTGTCAATAAGTTGTACATCTGTAATAAGTTGAACTGGCAGAAGTTGTGCAATAGATATATTTACAACAAGGACAAAAAAAAAAAAAAGACTAGTTGCTGAGGCTGCTTAGGTACAACCAAACACCTCACGGGATTTGGTTCCTTGGTTTGGAGATACAGGGTCATGATTTCATGGGACATCTCAGTTAACTGGCCTAACAATGTGTTTAATGCTTCTGTTCCACCTCCTAGTTCATTGTGTAGTGCCTTAAAAGCTTGCAAGTGGCCATCCAAGGCATAACAAATGGTCTCTATTCCTTCGGAGCAACAGAGGAAGGAAGGAGAGTCAGGAACAGGAAGAGGATATAGAATGTGTGGCTAATTACCTCCATCAACAACTGTCTCCTTTGCCTTGAGACCAGAAGAATTGGATGGTGTCCAGCTACTATTACTGAACATTTTGATCAAAGATTCCATAGAACAATACCGATTAAAAGCGGGGAAATGCAGAACAGATTTCAAATTCTCATAGACTCTAGACTTTCTGGAGTCATGGAGGGTAGACGAACCCCTGAAACTACTGCCCTAAGGTAATCTTTAAACCTGAAACCAAAAACATCCCCTGCAGTCATCTTAAAACCAAATAATAGTATAGCTTAACTAGTAAAAAAGTTCTGCCTTGAGCGTTATGCTCTTTTAAGATCTAGCTATATGGAATCAAACTGATAACAGCAACTCAAAACATTAGATAAGAACCTTAGGGGACAGTGAGTTTATGTTAATGAGGGAGGAGCAACTCAGAAAACGAGGGTGAGAATAGTTGCACAACTCAAAGGATGTAATCAGTGTCACTAAATTGTACATGTAGAAACTGTTGAATTGGTGTATATGTTGCTGTGCACGGAGCTCTGGTGGTGCAGGGGTTAAGAGCTCAGCTGCTAGCCAAAAGCTCAGCAGGTCAAATCCATCAGCCGCCTCTTGAAAACCCTATGCGACAGTTCTACTCTGTCCTATAGGGTCGCTATGAGTCCGAATCAAACTGCCCCAAGGGTTTCCAAGGAGCGTCTGGTAGATTCAAACTCCTGACCTTCTGGTTAGCAGCTGAGCTCTTAACCACTATGCCACAAGGGCTCCACATGAAGCTAGTGACTATGGTATTGGACAGAGTAGTTATAGAACATTTCCATCATCACAGAAAGTTCTACTGGACAGCACTGGTCTGAACACTAAAATAATTTTTGAATATCAGTCACAAGTACATATAACAGGTCTACAGGTAATCTCCAACTTATGGGGTTCCACTCTGACAATTACTTTGTCGTAAATCCATTCTGACTTAAGTTGAATACCTCATTTTTTTTTTTTTTTTTAGTTTTCATTATTATTGCCTTTTATTATCAGTATCTTTATAAATCTGATCTTTGTCTTTGGAGGTTGGCATGAGAATGATAACATCCGCAAATTACACGTTGCCATATTACATGTGACATACTACTAACAATAAGTTAAAAAAAAGACAATATTAAGTGCCATTTATTGTAACTCGAATACATCCCAAGTCGGGTACTACCTGTATTTTATAGCACAGAAAACTACGCAAGGTTAAGACCAATTAGTTGAGTCTGTCCTTGTGTTCTCTTCTAATCAGCTGAAGAACAACCCCGTATTTGACTCCAGGCAGAACAGGTTTAAAGTTAACAGCCTCGATTCTGGGTGTTAATACAGGCTGGACATCCACCAGCTGCCTGATCTTGCACAAGACTGTACAGCCTCCCTATGACTATTTCCTCGTCTGTAAAACTACCTCAAAGGGTTGTGAACATTAAATGAGATAATATAGGTAAAGGCCAAGCTTAACATACAGTATGTGCTCAATTAAAGTCACTGCTGCTATTATTATTATTTTATCCTAAGTAGGACGAAGCAGCTAGGCCATCCCAAAGATAAGTCTTAGCAGTGACCGGGAGCCTTTCTAGGAGCAAGGCTAGAATGGGAAAGAAACAGTAGACTCGCCCTGCTATGCCACCTCCCGGGGTAGGGCGCGTGTCCTCACCAGGAAGGCGACCGGGGAGGCAACCAGCCTTTACGCCCCCACTGCAGAGCTCCTCGGCGTCCACAAACACTGGGTCTTCATCCTCCTCCACATCCTCTTTTAGACAGTCAATGTCTTCCTCCACTAGGTCCTTAGGCGGAAACAAAGGTCCCTGCAGTGCCCGCAAGGGCTGATTTAGCCCGGCCATGTTCCCTTCCCCAGCGTCAACCCAAACAACTCAGGAAAACCCCATCCGGGAACCAGCCCACGATCAACCAGTCAGCTTCGCGACTGGAAGATGTCAGTTTCCGGATCCGCCTAGGCGGCGTCGTGCGTGCGCGGAGGGGCGGGACGACGGCGAAACTCCGCCCCAAGTCTCCTGTCTCGAGTGGAGAAGAGCCAGGAGGAAAGCGAGCGGGAACAGGACAGAACCAGGCGAGGCGGAAGGGGGTCGCCGGCAGGCAGACTTGAGGACGAGGGAGGTGGCCAGCCCGGCGGGGAGCGGCAGATGTGGCGCCTGTAGAGCCGCTTGCCCACGGACTCACCCCTGAGACAGAAATGCGAGGGAAGACCACATCTTCTGACCCCGGAAAACCTGAAAAAATAACAACCCCCTCAGCTCCTCAGCGAAGGGGTGGCTGGCGTCCTGCATGATGGTCAGCCACCACCCACTCGGAACAGTGACTGTCCAATCGGGAGACTTGTCTAGTCGTGACTGCTTTGGGACCGGTTTGCTTAACAATAAAAGGGCCGCGGAAACCAAACCCAATGCCATCGACTGGATTCGGACTCATAAAACCCTTTAGTACAGAGTAGAACTGCCCAATATGGTTTCCAAGGCTGAAATCTTTACGGAAGGAAGCACACTGCCTCATCTTTTTCCTGCCGAGAGGCTGATGGATTCAAACCTCCAACCTTTCCGTTAGCAGCCAAGTGCTTAACCACTGCGCAACCAAAACCAAACCAAACTCATTGCCTTCTAGTCAGTTCCGACTAACAGCGATCCTGTAGGACAGAGTAGAACTGTCCCAATAGGGTTTCCACAGAGCGGCTGGTGGATTCGAACTGCCGACCTTTTGGTTAATGCCCTAGCTGTTAACCACTGGGACCCCAGGGCTCCCCTAAAAGGGCCAGGAAGGAGTTTATATCATCTAAGCCACTTACTCAAGTACAGAGTTCTAGGATCCATTCCAGACCTACTGAATCAGAATCTACGACTGGGGCCCAGGATTCTGTCTTTTTTACAGACGTCCCAGGTTGTCCATTTTGATGGTCAGCCAGGTTTGGAAACCACTAGATTAAATGACATCCAAAGTCCTTTTCATCTTTTCCTCTGTGAGTACACCCTCGTCTGCCAAACTTCTTTAAGCTAGGGTCCTATCAGTGTTGTGACAAAAAGCATCTTCTTGCAGCCCAGAGGATAGGTGATGATGGGAAGTGGGGAAGGCATAGAAGAAATAGGAGGGTGGTTTAAAAACAAAGTATTCTGGATATGTGGTTCTCATACTTGGTGGTGATAGTATTTGAAAGTCATGATACTCTTTGAGAAACACCGTAAAGTATATTACTATATTGATTCTACTAATTACTATGTTGTTATTGCTAGGTGCATTCAAGTTGATTTTTGGTTCAGAGTGACCCCATGTGACAGAGTAGTACTGCCCCATAGGGTTTACTAGGCTGCAGTGTTTACAGAAGCAGATTGCCACATCTTTCTGCATATTAAAACAAAAACCAAACCTGTTGCCATTGAGCCCGTATTGACTCATAGCAACCCTATGGAACAGAGTAGAACTGCTCCATAGGGTTTCCAAGGGGCGGCTGGTGAATTCGAACTGCGGACCTTTCGATTAGCAACCAAGCTCTTTAACACTGTGCCACCAGGGCTCAACCTAAAATAACTAAGCATTCATTGCTAAATCCGAAAGCATTTTATGCTATAATGTTAATATAGATAAACAAGAGCACCAATGATTTAAGAAAAATTATTGGAGAAAATACTAAAATTCATTTTTTTTCCCTTTGGGTACAAATTGACAAATGTCCGCTTTCATAGCTTTTAGAAGAACTGTTCGGGCCAGCAAAACATCAGTGTTTCTGAAGATCATGCACATGAGTTTGAATTTCTTCCTTAACACTCACGTGGCTACTGTTTTCACCACAACATTGAATCTCTCTGACAAAGATCACACTACTGATCTCTTTTGTTGCTAAAGTTAGTGGATGTGGTCTAGCCTTTGTTTTACCTAACTTCTCAGCAGTATTTAGCATTGCTAACTAGTCTCTGCTTGTAACACTCTGTTCCCTGGGTTCTTGTGACTTGTCTTCTCAAATTTTCGTCCTATCTCTCTAGCCAATAATAGTGTCCCTTGGGCTCCTCTGCCCCTGCTGGCCTCTTAAGTATTGGTGTTCCCCAGAGTTCCATCCTAAGTGTCCAATGCCTCTATTATCTTTCCCTCAATAATCTTTCCACTACCATAAGTCTATCACCTACATGCTGATGATTGCAAATCTGATCTCCAAACCTGTGAAAACAACTGTCAATTAGATATCATTACTCTGTCCCTTGGCTACTTCAAACTCAACATACCAAACTGAAACTTTTCCACTGCCCAGATCTGAACCATTTATGTGTGTATAGATAGGATATCCTTGTTATCAGCACGGTGACTTGGGCATAAGAGTCCAGATGTTAAGCTTCTGTATATATAACTCAATCACATTCTATTTGGTTATATAGATAAGGATTCAAGATCATTGGAACCTTGCTTCCTTATCTTTTGTGATTAAAGTCTATAATCGGTTTAAGTAAGAAATATTATCCTGAATAATCTGGGTGAGTGTCTTAGTCATCTAGTGCTGCTCTAGCAGAAATACCACAAGTGGATGGCTTCAACAAAGAGAAGTTTATTCTCTCACAGTCTAGTAGGCTGCAAGTCCAAATTCAAGGCATCAGCTCCAGGGGAAGGCTTTCTCTCTCTGTCAGCTCTGGAGGAAGGTCCTTGTGATGCGTCAGTCTTCCACTGGTCTGGGAGAGTCTCATCGCAGGAACCTCAGGTCCAAAGGACACGCTCTGCTCCCGGCACTGCTTTCTTGGTGGTATGAGGTCCCCCTGTCTCTCTGCTTGCTTCTCTCTTTTATATCTCAAAAGAGATGGGCTTAAGACACTATCTGATCTGGTAGACCTCATCAGTATAACAGCAGCTAATCCATCTTATTACATCATAGTGATAGAGTTTGTAACACATAGGGAAATCACATCAGATGATAAAATGGTAGACAATCATGCAATATTGGGAATCATGACCCAGCTGAATTGATACACACATTTTTGGGGGGATGCAATTCAATCCATGACACTGGGCTAGATTAAATCAGTTGAAAGGCCTCAAGAGTAGAACTGAGGCTTCCCTGAAGAAGAAGAAATTCTGCCTGTGACCTGGAGCTTTAGCTCTTGACCAGAGTTCCAGCCCACCCTCCCAGACAGCCTGCCCTGTGGATTTTGGACGTGCCTAGCCAGCCCCCACAAATGCATAAACCAACTCCTCACAATAAATCTCTTAATATGTATTTCTTACTGGTTCTGTTTATCTGGTAGAATCCTGACTGATGCAAGAAAGAAAATATATATAACAACGAATACAGTGACTGAGTCCTGGTTGAATGCTGGTTTCAAAAATAAAATTACAAAATACTTGGGGACAATTAGGAAAATTTGGATAATAGGGTAGTAGATAATATGGTCATATTGTTTATTTTCTTATTTTTCTATTGAGATTGTCTTCTTGATTTTAGGGAATGAACGCCGAGGTGTTTAGAGGTGTAGCATCACGATGTATGTGTCTTAGTTACCTAGTGCTGCTATAACAGAAATATCACAATACCACAAGTGGATGGCTTTATTCAATCTGTATGCTGAGCAAATTACAAACTGAAATTTATTCTCTTACAGTCTAGGAGGCTAGAAGTCTGACTTCAGGGCACCAGCCCCCGGGGAAGCCTTTCTCTCTCTCTTGATTCTGGGGGAAGGGCCTTGTCATCAATCTTCCCCTGGTCTAGGAACTTCTCAGCACAGGGACCCCTGGTCCAAAGGATGAGCTCTGCTCCTGGCGCTTCTATCTTGATAGTATGAGGTCCCTATCTCTCTGCTCACTTCTCTCTACTTTTATTTTTTGTAGGATGAAAGGTGATGCAAGCCACACTCCAGAGAAACTCCCCTTACATAGGATCAGGGCTGTGACCTGAGTAAGGATGTTGCATCCCACCCTAATCCACTTTAACATAACCTAGTCTTGCCTCGTTAAGCACAGGCAGAGATTAGGATTTATGACACATAGGAAAATTACATCAAATCACAGAATGGAGGACAACCACACAATACTGGGAATCATGGCCTAGCCAAGTGGACACGTTTTGGGGGAACACAATTCAATCCATGACAGTATGCAACTAACTTTCAAATGATTTTGCAAAAATAAAGTGTGTGTGAATCTTAACCCAAACCTGTATGTATGTATGTGTGTATTTTATATATAGTGTGTATATGTAAACACAGAGAAAAGACAAAAATGGCAAAATAGTAATAATTTTTTAATATATGTGGAGAATAAATGGGGTATCTTATTCTTTTAACTTTCTGTGTGTTGGAAAATGTTCATGATAAAAAATTGGAGCAAAAAGTAAAAGTGACAATAGCCAAAAAATAAATAATACATAGGTTTTTGGAGAACCCAGCCCAGAATGAATTAGAATCTCTATGGGGTGCTTTCTGGGAATCTGAATTCTCCTGATGTCCCACAAGTGATTCTGACACATGAGGTTCATAAAGCTACATTTAAGAAACAATCTAAGAATTATCTTGGTCTTGACGTTTGAGAGCCATCCAACTCGTTCAATCAACAAATACATGCCGAACCATTACTATGTGCCAGTGGGAAACAAGACAGGCACATCATCACTACCCCCACCGAGCGTCCAGGTTCTTGGGGGGGAAACAGACTTTGAACAAGAAGATACAAACACACCAAGTATTAGGAAGGAGAAATGCAGAGCCTGTGAGAGCTAATGGGTAGACCTGGTTGGGAGGAGGGTATGGTCAGGGGAGGCTCACTTTGCGGGTGAGTTCCAGGCAGAGAGAATAGCATGAGAATAAGCAGGAAAGAGCAGGAGGGATTTCAGGATTGACAGAAGGCCGGTAGCTAAAGTCTAGAGTGTAAGGAGCTGGGCACGAGGTGAGGCTAGAGAGAAAGGTGTGCTGGAGCCAGAACTTGCAGTGCTTCGGGAGGCCATGGAAAGATCAGTAAGAAGCCACTGAAGGTTTTAAGCAGAAGCTTAAGGATTTTCTTCTGGAAATATGGTTATTCATTTCATATAATCCAAGCTCTCATTTTAATGTCCCCTTGAAA